CCACCCACCCATCTGTCCATCCATCTACTCACCCATCCATCCTTTCCTCCTTCCTTGCCATCCGTGCATCTAGTCTCCCACAAATCCTTCTTGGCCATCCATCAATCCACCTACCCTTTCTCCTAACTTTCTGTCCTTCCCTCCCTCCACCTTTCTGTCCATTCAATTGTCCCTTCCCCTCTCGGTCTAGCCATGCATACTCCCTACTGCCTTTCCACCCACCCCAGCCCTCCAACATCTCATTCTTTTCCTGAAAATTTCTTCCAAATAATTCCTTTCTTAGTACCGTCTGGATCCAGATCTGCTGGAGGACGTGTGCTCCTCATGGTAGCTTCTGGACCAGGTTCTGCTCCAAATTGTGTGCTCCATGTGGTATCATCTGGACCTGGTTCTGCTGTAGCATGTGTGCTCCTCAGGGTATCATCTAGACCAAAATCTTCTGAAGAACATGGGCTCCATGTGGTACCATCTGCATCCAGTTCTGCTGAAGGACGTGCATACAGTGTGGCACCACTGGGACCAGGTTCTGCTGTGGGATGTGCACTCCACATGGCATCATCCAGACCCCTTTCTGCTGAAGAATGTGCACTCTCTGTCATACCATCTGGACCCAGTTCTGCTGGAGGATGAGTGCTCCTCATGGTACCTTCAGGACCTGGTTCTTCTGCAGGACGCGTGCTTTCCATGCTACCTTCTGGACCTGGTTCTGCTGGAGGACCTGTGCTCCTCATGGTACCTTCAGGACCTGGTTCTTCTGCAGGACGCGTGCTTTCCATGCTACCTTCTGGACCTGGTTCTGCTGGAGGACCTGTGCTCCTCATGGTACCTTCAGGACCTGGTTCTTCTGCAGGACGCGTGCTTTCCATGCTACCTTCTGGACCTGGTTCTGCTGGAGGACCTGTGCTCCTCATGGTACCTTCAGGACCTGGTTCTTCTGCAGGACGCGTGCTTTCCATGCTACCTTCTGGACCTGGTTCTGCTGGAGGACCTGTACTCCTCATGGTACCTTCAGGACCTGGTTCTGTTGAAGGATGTGTGCTGATCATGATATGCTCAGGACCTGATTCTGCTGCAGGATGTGTGCTCCATGTGGTACCATCTGGATCCAGTTCTGCTGGAGGACGTGTGCTCCTCATGGTACCTTCAGGACCTGATTCTGCTGCAGGATGTGTGCTCCATGTGGTACCATCTGAATCCAGTTCCACTGGAGAACGTGTGCCCCATGTGGTACCATCTGGATCCAGTTCTGCTGGAGGACGTGTGCTCCACGTGGTACCATCTGGAACCAGTTCCACTGGAGGATGTGTGCTCCTCATGGTACCTTCAGGACCTGGTTCTGCTGCGGGACGTGTGCTCCATGTGGTACCATCTGAATCCAGTTCTGCTGGAGGACGTGTGCTCCACGTGGTACCATCTGGAACCAGTTCTGCTGGAGGATGTGTGCTCCTCATGGTACCTTCAGGACCTGGTTCTGCTGCAGGACGTGTGCTCCATGTGGCACCATCTGGGTCCAGTTCCACTGAAGGACGTGTACTACTCATGATACCTTCAGCACCTGGTTCTGCTGCAGGACGTGTGCTCCTCAGGGTATCATCTAGACCAAAATCTGCTGAAGAACGTGTTGTCCATTTGGTATCATCTGCATCCAGTTCTGCTGGGGGACGCGTGCTCTTCATGGCACCTTCAGGACCCGGTTCTCCCAGGTTCTGGTTACTTCGCATGGTATTACCTGCTGGGACCACCATGGTGGGGACCAAGTTCTGCCTTGCTTTGGGCCTGGTGCCTTGTGTGGTACTAACCAGATCCTGCCCCACTTTGGCTTGAGTGGCATCAATGGGATCCTGTCCTGCTGGCTGTTGGGTGAGCTGGATGGCAACTGCCCCATCCTGCCCTGTTCCTGGTTGGGTGGCACCAACTGGATCCCGCCCTGCCTTGGGCTTGGTACCTTGCATAGTTCCAACCAAACCCCGTTCTGGTGGCTTCCTGGCGGTCTGGTTGGCACCAGCCAGAATCTGTCCAGCTTTGAGCTGAGTGATCCGTACAGTACTGGTTGGATCCCTCCCTGCTTTGGGCCGGGTGACGCGGATGGTACCAACCGGATCCCATCCTGCCTTGGACCTGTTGGTGCCAGCTGGATACCGTCCTTCCTTGGACCTGTTGGTGCCCACTGGATCCCATCCTGCTTTGGACCTATTGGTGCCCGCTGGATCCCATCCTGCTTTGGACCTGTTGGTGCCAGCTGGATGCCATCCTGCCTTGGACCTGTTGGTGCCCACTGGATGCCATCCTGCCTTGGACCTGTTGGTGCCTGCTGGATCCCATCCTGCCTTGGACCTAGTGGTACCAGCTGGATCTTGTCCCACTTTAGACCTGGTGGCACCAGCTGGATCCCGTCCTGCCTTGGGCTTGGTGCTTTGGATGATGCCGGCCGGATCCTGCTCTGCTTTGAGTCGAGTGATCCTGATGATACGAATAGGATCTCGCCCCACTTTGTCTTGGGTGGCACTGATTTGACCCTGTCCTGCTGGGTGCTGGGTGCTGGCAGTGGCATCAGTTGCATCCCATCGTGCGGGGCGCTGGGTGCTGGGGGCGGTGCTGGCCAGACTCTGTCCCACAGGGTGCTGGGTGCTGCTGGCAGGCAGAGGGGTCCCCGTTGGTGACAGCAGGTCTCCTTCCCCTGCAGCAATGAGAGGGTGCTCAGCCTGGCTCTGGGGAGGGACCCAGGGCCAGAGGTGGGGGCATCCCTTGGGACCAGGGTTTCACAGGGAGGGACCCCAGCAGGCAGGGGAGGTGCATGGGGGGGTCCATGCCCCCCAAATCTGCTTCAGCCCCGCAGCTGGGCCAGGGCGGCAAAACATGGGGTCCCGTGTTGCAACCAGCCACCCGCCGGCTCCCTGGGACCTCGCACAGGGGGACGGGGACCCACATCCCCGCTCCTCCTACCCTTGCGGGCTGTCCTTGGCGTGAGCTGGCCGGCTGCGGTGCTCCGGGGAGAGCTGGGGACACGGGGCCGCGCTGAGGGGGGCACCCGGGCCGGCTTCATCCGTGGCTGGTGGGGAGTGGGCTCCGCAGGGCGGACATCCAGGGTGGCCAGCTCATCTGCAGGCAGGGGAGAGCAGCGTGAGCCCTGCAGCGCGTGCACTGCACCCATGCCGCACCCTGCCCACACGTGCACTGCACGTGCGCTGCACCCACACCGCGGCCTGCCCACGTGTGCCGCACGTGCGCTGCACCCACGCCGCGCCCTGCCCACGCGCGCACTGCACATGCACTGCACCCACGCTGCGCCCATGCGTGCACTGCACATGCACTGCACCCACGCACGCCGCACCCATGCCGTGCCCTGCCCTCGTGTGCACTGCATGCGCCCTGCACCCACGCCGCGCCCTGCCCACACGTGCATCACACCGCACATGCGCTGCACCCACGCCGCGGCCTGCCCACACACGCGCCGCACGTGCACTGCACCCTCACTGCTGCCGCTTGTAGCATGGCTGCGCTGCACCCTGCGGACCGTGCACCCACAGGGTTTGCAACTCAGCCACAGTGTCCCCGTGCCCACCCACTGCCCCGGGCCCACCGCACGGGTACGGGGACTGCGTGCCCACTACATCACCCCTGTGGGGGCACACCCCCAGCCCCCCGCATCGCGGGCACCTGCGCAGACAACGGCGGCATCCTCCCGGTGCTGGCAGTTGGTGACACCCCAGGGGGAAGCTGGGCACTCCAGCAGGGAGGACTCGTTCCCTTGGCACCGCACATCGTCCAGCCAGATGGGCCCGGTGCCCTCGCCAAAAAAAGCTGCCCGGGGCGCGTCGAGGGCGTCCCCGCAGCCCAGCTGCCGGCAGACCACCGCCGCGTCCGGCAGCCCCCACAGGTCATCGCAGACGGTGCCCCAGTGCCCGGCGTGGAAGATCTCCAGCCGGCCGGCGCAGCGCCCCGCAGCCCCCACCAGCCGCATGGTGGGACCCCCTGGGAGAGAGGTCAGCGTCGGCGAGGGCCCCTGGGACCCATGGGTGGGGGTACCTGTGCACACTGTGCCTGTGCACACCATACCTGTGCATGCTGTACCTGTGCACACCCTACCTCTGCATGCCATGCCTGTTGCACACCATAGCTGTGTACACTGTACCTGTGCATGCTATGCCTGTGCACACCTGGCCTGTGCACACCGCACCTGCGCACACCGTGCCTGTGCACACCATAGCTATGCATGCCGTGCCTGTGCATGCTGTGCCTGTGCACACCATAGCTGTGCATGCTGTACCTGTGCATGCTGTACCTGTGCACACTGTACCTCTGAATGCCATGCCCGCTGCACACCATAGCTGCGTACACTGTACCTGTGCATGCTATGCCTGTGCACACCTGGCCTATGCACACCATAGCTGTGCATGCTGTACCTGTGCATGCTGTACCTGTGCACACTGTACCAACCATAGCTTTGCATGCTGTACTTGTGCATGCTGTACCTGTGCATGCTGTGTCTGTGCACACCCTACCTGTGCATCTGCAAACTGTGTGTGCTGTACTTGCACGCACTGTATCTGTGCATGCTGTACCTGTGCACAGCACACCTTGCACGCTCTACCCGTGCCTGCTGTAACGCGTACGTGCTGTATTTGCACACATTATTGCAATTACATGCTCTACCTATGCACGCTGTACCTGTGCATGCTGCACCCGTGCACGCTGTAACGGGTGGCTCGGTGACGGTGGGTGGCGGCGTGGGAGTCCAGGGGAGCTCGGTGGTGCTGAGGGGCTGGAAGCGGTGAGCTGTGGGGAGCGGTGCTCAGGCGAGGGGTCCCCAGCTTGGCCACCTGCTCGCCCACCCACCCACCGCAGCCCACCTGAGCAGACGGCGCTGGCATCCTCTTCGTGGGCGCAGACGTGGGGACGCCAACCCCGGTGCCGGCACAGGGCCAGGCGCTCCTCGGTGCCCCGGCACCGCACCCCGTTGAGCCAGATGGGACCCAAGCCCTCTCCAAACCAGGCTCCTGGAGGGGCGGCGAGGGCGGTCCCGCAGCCCAGCTGCCTGCAGACCACCGCCGCGTCCGGCAGCCCCCAGTCGTCGTCGCAGACGGTGCCCCAGTGCCCGTCGTGCTGCACCTCCACCCGCCCGGCACAGCGACTGGGGCCCCCGGCCAGCCGCACCGGGAACGGCCCTGAGGACAGCCCGCACTCAGGCGCCGGGGCCAACGGCACCCGCCAACACCCACTGGGACCCACTGGGACCCCCTGGCACCCACTGGTAGCCCTGCACACATGGGGAACTGCTGAGTCCCACTGGGAGCTTCTGCACTCACTGGGACCTGCTGGGATCCTTTGCACACACTGGGACTTGCTGGGACCCAATGGGAGCCCTGCATGCCACCCCCCCCCCGGGGCCCCTGCACACACTGGGACCTGCTGGGAGCCCCCCAGGACCCACTGGGACCCCTCCACACAGTGGGACCTGCTGGGACCTGCTGGGAGCCCTGCACACAATGGGACCCACTGGGATCCTTTGCACACACTGGGACCTGCTAGGACCCACTGGGACCTCTACATGCCCCAGAGACCCCTGCCCACAATGGGACCCACTGGGATCCTTTGCACAGACTGGGACCCACTGGGATCCTTTGCAAAAAGTGGGACCTACTGGGAACCCTGCCCACACTGGGACCTCCTGGGAGCTCCCCCTCTCTGGGACTCACTCGGAGTGGAGAGGATGAGTGGGGGCACCCAGGCGTCCGGGCACCCCACTCCGTCCCAGGCTCCCCAGGGGGCCCTGAGGCACCCAGCAGCGGAGACCAGTGCCCAGTGCCCCAAACCCAGTGCCCCTCCCAGTGCCCAGTGCTCTGTGACCATAGACCAGTCCCCCATGACCAGTGCCCTTCCCAGTTCCCAATGACCAGTGCCCAGTGCCTCTCCCAGTGCCTGGTGCCCCATGACCAGTGCCCTTCCCAGTGCTCCATGACCATCATCGACCAGTGCCCACTGTCCTTCCCAGTTCCCCATGCACAGTGCCCTTCCCAGTGCCCATGACAACCATCGACCAGTGCCCACTGTCCTTCCCAGTTCCCAGTGCCCCATGCCCAGTGCCCTTCCCAGTGCCCTCCTCAAGCCCAGTGCCCAGCAACCAGTGACCCGTGACCTCTGCCCCATGCCCAGTGCCCAGCACCCAGTTCCCAATGACCAGGTGGGTCACTGCCCCTTGCCCAGTTCCCTGTGGCCAATGACCAGTGCCTTTCTCAGTGGCTGGTGCCCTGTGGCCAGTGACCAGTGCCCTTCCCAGTGCCCCATGACCATCATCAGCCAGCATCCAGTGCCCTTCCCAGTTCCCAGTGCCCAGTGCCCATTGCCCAATGTCCTGCCCAGTGCCCTGTGCCCTTCCCAGTCCCCAGTGCCCCCCATGCCCACTGCCCGGTGCCCTTCCCACGGCCCATCACAGCCCACCCTACCCAGTTCCTCTCCTGGTGACCACTGCCCAGGACAACCCACAACATCCAGTGCCCTGCCCAGTGCCTCACAGCCTTCCCAGTATCCCACACAGCCCAGCGCCCAATTGCCACCACAACCCACAGTGCCCCACACCCAGTGCCCAGTGCCCAGCATGGCCCACTGTGCCCAGTGCAATTCCCAGTGCCTTTCCCAGTGCCCAGTTCCCATGCCCCGCCCAGTGCCCAGCATGGCCCACTGTGCTCAGTGCAATTCCCAGTGCCCTTCCCAGTGCCCAGTTCCCAGTGCCCCATGCCCTGCCCACCGGGCACCACCGGGCACCACCACCCATGGTGCCCGGTGCCCAGTGCCTGCCCGCCCCGCAGTGTTCCACAGCCCCAGCTGGGTGCAGCACCCCATGCAGTGCCCAGCGCCCCATGCAGTGCCCAGTGCCCTGCCCAGTGCCCCCCCAGCACTGCCCTTCCCTTCCAGCACCCAGTGCAGCACCCGGTCCTGTGTAGTGCCCAGGGCAGTGCCCAGACCCCCCCCCCGCAGTGCCCGCTGCAGTGCCTGTGCAGTGCTAGTGCCATGTCCAGCACCATGCCTGTGCCATGCCCGTGCAGTGCAGTGCAGTGCCACCGCAGTGCCCAGTGCCGTATTCAACCCCCAACCCAGCACCCACGCCACACCTGTGCCGTAGCTGCGCCACACGCACACCGATCCCATGCAGTGCCAGCGCAGTGCCAGCGCGGTGCCTGCGCGGTGCCTGTGCAGCGTCAGTGCAGTGCCCATGCCGTGCCAGTGCAGTGCAGCGTGGTGCCAGCACAGTGCCTGTGCAGTGCCCAGTGCCCAGTGCCGTACTCACCCTGCCTCCCAGCACCCGCACCGTACCCATGCCATAGCTGTGCCACACGCACACCAACCCCGTGCAGTGCCCGTGCAGTGCCAGCGCAGTGCAGCATGGTGCCAGCACAGCGCCTGTGCAGTGCCAGTGCCGTATTGAACCCCCCTCCCAGCACTGACACCGTACCTGTGCCACATGCACACCAACTCCATGCAGTGCCCGTGCAGTGCCCGTGCAGTGCCAGCGCAGTGCAGTGCGGTGCCAGCACAGCACCCGTGCAGTGCCAGTGTGTACTCAAGCCCCCTCCCAGCACTGACACCGTACCGGTGCCACACGCACACCAACCCCGTGCAGTGCCCATGCAGTGCCCGTGCAGTGCCAGCGCAGTGCAGTGCAGTGCCAGCACGGTGCCAGCACAGCGCTCGTGCAGTGCCCGTGCACACTCAAGCCCCCTCCCAGCACCCGCACCGTACCGGTGCCACATGCACACCAACCCCGTGCAGTGCCCATGCAGTGCCTGTGCAGTGCAGCACGGTGCCAGCACAGCGCCCGTGCAGTGCCTGTGCATACTCAAGCCCCCTCCCAGCACCCGCACCGTACCGGTGCCACACGCACACCAACCCCATGCAGTGCCCGTGCAGTGCCAGCGCAGTGCCAGCGCAGTGCATTGTGGTGCCAGCACAGCACCCGTGCAGCGCCCAGCGCATACTCAAGCCCCCTCCCAGCACCCACACCGTACCGGTGCCACACGCACACCAACCCCGTGCAGTGCCCGTGCAGTGCCGTGCAGTGCCCATGCCAGCGCAGTGCCCGCGCAGCGCAGGCGGTGCCGCCGGGCTCACCCAGGAGCAGGAGGGTGAGGGCCATGGCGGGCGGCGGTGGCGATGGGGACGGCGGGCGGGCGGGGAGGACGAGAAGGGGCCGCCGGGCCAAGGATGACTCACCTGGGACCCCCTGGGGCAGAGGGGGGGCAGGGCGTCCCCCTTGCTGTGTCCCCCCCAACCCGGCGGGGCTTGGGCCAGGGCGCGGGGAGTTAACGCCGGAGCCACGCGGCACCCAGGGGACACAGGCGCGGCGCCCACGCGTGTGCACGTGGCCTCCCGCCGCCCCGACACGTGTCTGCACGTGGCCTCCCACCGACACGCGTGTGCTCACGGCCTCCCACCGCCCCGACACGCGTGGTCACGGGGCCTCCTGCAGCAGCACAGGGTGCACACAGCTGTTGCATGCTCACCCGTGCACAGGCATCTGCACACTCACTTGCACCCACGGGTTCGTGCACACATGCAGAGAGACGTGCATGCACACGCACGCGCTTATGCACACACACATGCACGCTTACACACACACATGCACGCACACACATGCGCACGCAGATGCACAAATGCACACACGTGCACACATACACACACTTGCACACACATGCACACATGTACACACTTGTGCATGCACATGCACGCACACAGGAGCACACACATACACATGCACGCATGTGCACACGCACACACATGCACACGCACACAGGCACACGCATACTGGGGGGGCCAGTGGGGCCATACTGGGTTGGGGAAGTCCCAGGGCCACACTGATGGGGATACTGGGGGCCATACTGGGGGG